TGCCATCTCTATACAAAATGGCTGGCTCTGTCTCAATTTCTTTTCCTGATGTTGTGATAGATAAGATAGCCAGACAAAAGCAATCTAAGGTAGAAACGGTTTGTCTCACAGTTCAGTTTCATCCTGGTAGGGAAGTCACAGTGGCGTGAGCATGATGTAGCTGTTGGATAATATCAATATTCACTAAAGAGCACTTACTGCTCTTTCAGAGGACCTGGGTTCAATATAGTGGCTCAAAACCACCTATAATTCCAGTTCCAAGGGATCCAATGCCCTCTTCTGGATTTAGGAGACTCCTGCATGTATATAGTGCACAGAAAAGCACACAGACACACACATATAAAAATAATAAATAAATCTTTAAAAAGAAAAATATGCAAAGAGCAATGAATGCTGGTTGCTCAGTTCAGTTTCTCCTTTTAATTTTTCTAATCAATCTCACTTCACTCCCACTCACTCTTATCTCCCACCTTCTCCTTTCTATATAGTATAAGATCCTATCCTAGTGAATGATGCCACCTATAGTGGGCAGGACTTCCCACCTTAACTATCTCTTTAGGAATGCCACAGACATCTCTCCCCAGTGATTCTAGATCTCATCAAGTTGACAATTGAGATTAACCACCATAAAACCTTACAGGACATTGGGCCCCTAATTCTATCATCCTTGCACAGCTGAATGTAGGTCTAGACTCTGGGGATCTGGGGAGAGATGTCCATCTACTTTCGGAGCAACTTTAACACAAAAGTCTATTGAAACTCAGAAGTCTACAGGCCAAGGCAGCTTGACTGTAATTGCAGCAGTCTTATGTGGAGATGGAGAATGAAGTCTTAGAATCTCCCTGTCCATCCAGCTTTCCTGGGACACAGAGCAGCAAGCAGCAAGAGACCCTGTCTCAAAGAAGATGGAAGTCAAGGACTGACACCCATGGTTATTCTATGACTTCAACATATGCTCTGCGGCATATGCATTCCCACAATCACTCAGGTGGACATGCATGCACATGTATATAATAAGCACACACACACACACACACACACACACACACACACACACACACACACACACACATCTCATTTTCACATCAACCACTCCAAGCACATTCCTAATCTAAGAAGGTTGTAGCTATCTTGCTTGCTTTTTGAGAAAGAAGCTCACTGTGAAGCCCAGGCCTAGAACTCACTATGAGACCCAGAGTGGCCTGAAATGTAATAGCCTGTTTTGACCTCAGTACATGGAAAAACATTCAGATTATCCAATTCTTGTGTTTATTATCCTATTACATATCTTATTATTAAATTTTACTTTAAAGTTCCGCATAACTTCAAGTAACCCATGCTGAATAGTTTTGTAGTACTAGCAAGAAGACCCAGGACTTTGTCCTTACTAGAAAAGACCTCTAATGCGGGGTCACATACTAGATTGATATTGAACACTTTCTCCAAGAACTACTGAGTCTTCATGAAAATCATGCAAGGCATTGGAGCTGTTTTATTTATTTTGCAAATGGGGAGACTGAGACTCATGGAAACTAAATACAACTCTGTCTTTTGTTCATTGAAAATTCAATAATTGTATGCAGTATATTTTGCTCACATTACCACTCTCTCCTCTCTTCCAGCTTCCCCAGTCACATCTCCATCCCAACTTTATGTCATCCACCTTTTCAATTTACTTTTTAAAACCCAATTAGTTTGTTTTAATCTAATTAGTTTTATTTTAACACAATTAATGCTGCCTATATGCACACCAGAGGACCTGCAGATAGACTACCAGTGGTCACATTCCTAAAGAAAACTGGCTCCCTCCCCTCAGCAGCCATCAACTGCCAACAGCCCCTCAGTAGGGTTGGGGCATTGCTTCTCTTTCTGTGTTGGAATTTTAACTAGCTTCATCTTCTGCGGGTCTTGTACAGGTAACCATAGCTGCTGTGAATTCACCAGTACATCACACCAAGTCCGGAAGATGGCATTTCACAGCTGTCCTCCCATCCTCTCTCTTGCATTCTTTCCGTCTCCTCTTTCATGATGCTCCCTGAGCTCAGAGAGAGGGGACATAGATGTCCCATGTACAGCTAAACATTCACAGTTGCTTCTGCTCCACACTTTGCTCAGTTACGAGTTTCTGCATTAACCATGACTCTCTGTAATGAGAAACTTCTCAGACCAAGATTGAGAGCAGCACACATCTATGGATATAAACACAAACATTTAGAAGGAAGTTTAACAACATGTTCATTTAGAAAAACATCAATAGGTTCTCTCCTAGGGCCTATGACTCCTAGTAATGTTTATTGACCATGTTTACAGTGGCCTGGAAAAGGCAAACACAGTTTTCAAGGCCTACACCTATACTAGGTGTCTACAATTTGTGTCTTTAGCCCATCCCATCTCCTTTCACTGATGATAGTAAGCACCATCCTGTTTGGTGGGGCCTACCCTGTCATAACCACCACCCTACCTGGTGGGGCCTACCCTGTCATAACCAGTGATACTTTCTATCTTTAATGTGGTGCTCTATGAATTACAAATACCATTCCTATCTTAGTTACTTTTCTACTGCTGTGATAAAACATCCCAACCAAGGCAACTTATAGAAGGAGAAATTCATTTGGGCCTTACTATTTCAGAAGATGAGTCCATGATCACCATGGTGGGAGCATGACAGCTGGCAGGTATGCATGGTGCTGAAACAGTAGCTGAGAGTGTACATGTTGAGACAACAACCATGAGGCAGAGAGAGCAAATCAGGAATGTCATAGACTTTTGAAATCTCAAAGCCCACTCCATACATCTTCTCCAACAAGGCCACACCTCCTAATCCTCCCCAAATAGTTCCACCAACTGGAAACTAAGTATTCAAATATATGAGTCTATAGGGACCATTCCCTATATGAGTCTATAGAGGCCACATTTCCCTAACCCAGAATTTAACATCTGTCACCTTCTGCCCTTATAATTTTAAAGATCTTTAAATTTCAGTGCGATTTTTCAACTTGAATTCAGACTTCTCCTTCCTTGGAAATAAGCATTAAAGTTTGTAATGATGATATCAACATCAAAGTACTTTGGAATTATGTGTGTGTGCTCCCCCATGTGTATATGTGTGTATACATGTGCATGTTAACATTTGTATGTGTGTATGAACATGTTCATGCTAGCATATGTGAATGCACATACACATGCATGCATGTGGACTAGAGGATAACTTGGTTGTCATTTCTCAGGTGCCATCCATCTTGTTTTTGGAAACAGGGTCTTTCACTGGCCTAAAACTTTCCAGGTTGGCTGGAAGCCAGTGAGTCCCAGGATCTGCCTGTCTCTGCCTCCTTATCTCTAGAAGTAGATGCATGGGTCACTATGCCGGAATTCTCTAAAAATTATTATGTGTATGTATGTGTGCATGTGTACAAGGTAAGCATGAGCCATAGCACCCATAAGGAGGTCACAGGACAAGCTTGGATATTAATTCTTGCCTTCCACATTGCAACAGGGGCTCTTTACTGTAAACCAACCACACTAATGCCAGGCTATCCGGTCCATTAGCTTCAGGGGAGTCCACTGTCTCCACCTTCCTTCCACCTTGCCTTAGGAACACTGAAGTCACAAACTCAGGTTATTCGCTGTCGACTTGGTTGAGTTCAGAATCACCCAGGAGACATATCCCTGGCCATGTCTGTAAGGGCCTTTCCTGAGAGGATTAACTGGGGAGGGAAGACCCACCCTGAATGTGGGAGGCGCCATCCAGTGGGTTGAGGTCCTGGACTGAATAAAAAGGAAAACGAGTTAACTGAGCGCCAGCACTCATCCCTCTGCTTTCTGAGTGGGGCTCCGATGGACCCGCTGCCTCCTGTCCCTGTTATCCTCCCTTCCCCACGGCAGACTGCTGTAACCTTTCTTAAACTGAAAGGAAGTCCTTCCTCTTTACCTTTTCATGTCTTAAATGTTGCATTTATTTATTTGCTTGTTTGGGGTGTGTGTGTGTGTGTGTGTATGTGTGTGTGTGTGTGTGTGTGTGTGTGTGTGTGTGTGTACGTAATGTGTGTCATGCACATATGCAGAGGTTGGAGGATAACTTGAGGGAATTGGTTCTCTTCTTCTACCCCGTGAGTTCCAAGGACTGAACTCAGGTCCCCAGGCTTAGAGAAGAGCTGCTTGAGTCCTGAGCCCTCTCCCCAGCCCCGTAAGTCCCTCTTAGTGGCTCCAGTCAGCTGTTCTGTGAAAAACAGTGAGAAGAGTGACTAACACATTGTGTTTCCACAAAGCCCAGGACAGCATAGGGCATGAAGTAAATCCAGGAAAGGGTTTGCTGAAAAAAAACAAAATGAATAATGTAGGAGGAGAGAGAGAGACACACGAGAGACAGGCAGACAGATAGACAGAAACAGAGACACACACCTGAGAGAGACAAAGAGAGAAAGAGAGACAGAGAAACACAGAGACACACAAGAGAGAAACAGAAACAGAGAGAGACATAGAGAGACAGGGAGGGACAGACAGACAGAGGAAGAAGCAGAGACAGACAGACAGGAGAGAGGGGAGGGGGGAGAGAGAGAAGAGTCTGAAAGTTCAGTTTTCCTAATTTCTAATGGTCTGGTCCTGAAACCCACTTGCTTTCTGAACTGCTGAGAGAAATTGTTCGGAAAGGATAAGACCTAAAAGCTGATTTTCAGCCACTGAGATCCTCCAAATCACATGTCTCATGCTTTTCCCAGAGCGCCCTGATTGCCCAAAGGAATAATATAATCTGAGAAATCGATTGATCTTCCACAGCAGATTCGACATACAGGGGTCAGAGAGTGATGGAGACTCCCGGCTTAGCGGTCAGGTTTCTCGGCCCTTCCCGGGTTTCTCCCCAGAGCCCCACAACTCTGAGGCTGGCCCTACTGGGAGTATTTGCTCCTCAGGTGGTCCAGCTCACTCAGTGTAAGCTGACTCTCTGGCTTCTTCCAAGTCACAGGGAGGTCCCTCCTCTCAGACTCCCCAAACACAAAGCCCTCACACTAACCTGCCTGGCTCTCCCACGGTGCAGCTTAACACACTCATTGGCCTGCAGCCTGCCAGGGGCGGGGCTTGGGTGGTCCTCAAAAGGAGTTAGCAGTGTGAGAGGAGAGCCCTGGAGGCTGATGCTCTCCTCCCAGTCTCACCCGGCCTTCTTCAGGAGCCTCTGCTTTCAGGATTGTTCCCTTTGTGACTCGGCTTGGGACAGAGCCTCAGATCAGAGGACACCTGTGGCCTTGGATTTTAACCTCAGTGATGGGAAAACTTGAAAATACTTCCTGGATCCACGATCCTCTCATGAAGTACTTGAACAGCACGGAGGAGTACCTCGCTCACCTCTGCGGACCCCGGCGCAGCCACCTCTCCCTTCCAGTGTCTGTGGCCTATGCGTTGATCTTCGTGGTGGGGGTGATGGGCAATCTTCTGGTGTGCCTGGTGATCCTCCGACATCAGACCTTGAAAACACCCACCAACTACTACCTCTTCAGCCTGGCTGTCTCAGACCTGCTGGTCCTGCTCTTTGGGATGCCTCTGGAGGTCTATGAGATGTGGTACAATTACCCCTTCCTGTTTGGGCCGGTGGGCTGCTACTTCAAGACCGCCCTCTTCGAGACTGTGTGCTTTGCCTCCATTCTCAGTGTCACCACGGTTAGCATAGAGCGCTATGTGGCCATCGTCCACCCGTTCCGAGCCAAGCTGGAGAGCACGCGGCGGCGGGCCCTCAAGATCCTCAGCCTTGTCTGGGGTTTCTCTGTGGTGTTTTCTTTGCCCAACACCAGCATCCATGGCATCAAGTTCCAGCACTTTCCCAATGGGTCCTCCGTGCCCGGCTCTGCCACCTGCACAGTCACCAAGCCCATGTGGGTGTACAACTTCATCATCCAAGCCACCTCATTCCTCTTCTACATCCTCCCGATGACCCTCATCAGCATCCTCTACTACCTCATGGGGCTCAGAGTGAGTATCCAAGGTGACTGGCTTGGGGCAGCATCCCTCCTGTTATCACCCATTTTAAGTTCAAAGAAAGCCCTAGCATGAAGGAAGGACATAATCAGAAGGGGGTGCGGAGGATGACTTTAAGTGGGAAATTAAGAAGCAAATCTTATATGTATGTAAAACAGTTTCATGCGCAAATTCCACACATGCCCTCAGGAAATATCTCACAAGTAAAATCAGTTTGGTGTCCTGTTGAGCGGGGGGCAAATTGCCACCAGTTAAACAAGAGTCAAACCACAACTCTCTGTTATTTTCTTTACCTGGTGTCCACTATTCTCTCTATGCGTGTTCACCTGTGTTTCTAAGAAAGTGTTAGAAAACTTCCTAGGGGTATCAATATAGATACCACTCATGGGACAATCTGACTCCAGGGGCTTGAGGAGAAGCCTCACTGTGTGCACAGGAAGTGATCTAGGGTTAGAGGGTCACATTCCGGGGCGATTCTTCCACATTCTCTTGTCTCCTTGCTGCCCCTGCACCACTTTGCTGCCTGTGCTGAAATGTCTTGCTGAACCAACTTGTCCTGAGGATATTGTGGGGGCCTCCTGCTTAGCAGTCTGAGACAGATATACAGCTGTGAAGGTCTGTATTTCCTTGTGGTGCACTGACCCTTTGATTGAAATATCAAGTTAAATCATATATGTATGTGTGTACATATATATGATTCTATTTCATATCTCCTATACATATATAGACTTTGAAAACAGTTTTATAGAAGGTAGGGATGGAGGGATGGAAAAGTAAACAGAACTCATAAGTTAGAGCAGTATAAGCTATGATTAAGATGCATGTGAGTTTCTGGGGAAATCACTCAGTTTTCCCTGTATCTTACAATTAGAGTTTCCTTCTCTAAGCTTGTAGAGATAAACATTTTTTTCCGTTCTCTCTGGTTCCAAATTAGATGAGAGAATCTGTTTTTGAGAAGTGTAGGAGTGAATCTGTATACTTCCTACTGTATTCTGTACCCAAATTCATAGATGTGAGTCCTCACAATGATAGTTTTATATTCATTTTGGGAAGTGGTTCACGCAGTAAACAGTTATGACGTTATTTAGATTCTCAGGTCCTTGGCTGACATATGCCTTTAGGCAAGCAGCACACAATTGTCCTGGAATTGCTTTCCCATTTGGAGAATGAAAAGGTCACATCACATTATTTCTAAGGCTTCTTCCGGCTCTAACAGTCTGTGGTTCTGTTTTAAAAGGTAAAGAGACTATGAGTGGGATAGACATGAGCTATGAATGAAAGAATTAAACATGCGCACACATCCCATCATATCCTCCGGCACTGTGGCACCAGATGCAGGGGCCCACCCCAGTCCATCTCTGAGAAAGGTTTTTTATCAATATAGAGAGGATTTTTTTTTTTATATTTACTGGTCCTAAAATGAAAGGCCAGGCTTGAATAGGAAGAACATAATTTGACTGTCATAGACATGTGGGCACAGGAATGAATCTGACCAGAGAGTGGTGGCATTTTCCTTTAAGATCTGTGTCAAAGCAGACCAGCTCAGTGCCACAGTTCCAGAATGTCCTGTGTATCTAACCCAGAGGAAAAGATTTTCAGACATTTCCAAATATTAAGCATCCCAAAAGACCGTCTCACTCCGAGACTTTAGTAACAATATCATCTTGTTCAGTGCTAAACAACCATTTGTCTTGTATGAGTTTGGGGAAAATGCCTAAGTTTAACAGCAAACACAGATTCTTCTAAACTCTTTGCCTGAGTTTCATTTTGTTCCACTCTCGTGAATCCACAGTGTTTGTGTCCCAAGCTGGGGGCAGTTGAGATAAGAGCCACCCTACTTTGTGTGAGTAATGCAATTGGTGACATCCTGTGTCAGAAAAGATGAAGTAGAAGCAAGTGGACCAGAGGGTACCAGGAAAGGAAATGTCTGATGTGTCATTTGTTGAGTTTGAACAGCCCTATACCAGTGGCCTGCAGAAGCAAGCTCTGTTCAGTGACACAGGTGCCACAACCTTTGGACCTCTTCCCCTGGAAGGTCCGTGCCACCCGCCACCACACTTGCTTTGTCTTTTGACTCCGGTCCACCCTATCAGTCATGCTTCAAGTACACTGCCCTAGGGAAGCTCTCCTCGACCCCTGAGCTGCTCTGCCTCTGTTGTAGACTCCATGACTCTCAGTAACTTCCTTCGCTATAATTTATAATGGCATGTGGACCCTTTAGTTCATTTATTTCTCCCAAACCCGACTAAGTTCAGTCAGGGGATGAGGCTAAATTACTTCCCTCGCTACTGAGCTTCATCTTCTCTACACTTAAGACAAAAGACTTGGAAACATTGTCTCCAAGTCAAGATTTAAAGACACCAAGCCCTAATGGTATTTAAGTTATTGAGTCTGTTGAGAAGTCTAAAAGTGTGACTGAGTCTGGTTGCCACTACCTTCCGAAGGCAGCCAAGACTATGCTGATGAAAGTATAGGACAAAAGAAGCCCTTTGTGTGTTCAAGGCTGAACAACCATTGCTGTTATCTCATTTCAGGTCACAAATTTTCATAGAGATGCTCCTGAGGCTTAGAACATCACAGACATGGAAAGTACATGACCCAAGAGTAGCTTCCCAGCCACGTAGGAGGAAGCACCAGCAAAGTCAAGCCTAATCCATGTCTCTCTCACACATGACTTTTGTGTTGATGAGGAGACATGTGTGAACTGCATAAAAGTCAACTCTGCCTGACAGGCTGCAAACAAGAAAGATAGTGGATGGATGGATGGATGGATGGATGGATGGATGGATGGATGGATAGATGGACACGATGGGTAGAGATGGATGGACAGAGAGACAGATGATGAATGGATGGATGATAGAAAAGGGCAGAATGGCAAATTGAAAGACAGATAAATGAATAGATGGATAGATGGTTAGACAGGCAAATAGGCAGAAGAGGAGATTGATAGGCAGAGAGACAGATGGATGGATGGATGGATGGATGGATGGATGGATGGATGGATGGATGGAAGGAAGGAGGGGCAAATGAGCTGATAGAGAAGTTGAAAGACAGACAATAAGTATAGATCAGGACAATGTGTATCTACACCTATATTCATATATACACACAAATATACTCAAGTATATACATACACACAACACACACACACACACACACACACCACAGTCACCATGAACAGCTCATCAAGATAATAAATAACCTGAAAGATGATCAGTCCCATGAACCTCACCTGTTCCACTCTAAGCTTCTGAACTTTGGAGCATCCTATAGAGTGACCACAGCATCTCATCCCTTTTTGTCATTCCCTGAGTGTGAGTTCAGAGTTCATCCCATTGATGACTGAGTATCTACCCATGCTAAGCATCTAAAGTGAAATGGAAGTATTTAATATTAAAGCATCATTTGACATTAACTAGGCAGATGTCTTAGATTCTGTTGTGTCGGCCATTGTGAGCCCTGATGGGACACTACCATATCACATATTCAGTCCATCTCTTCCTTAAGTTGGCTGGTTGTGCCATTATTACCTGAAGACACTTCAAGGTGAGCAGTAATGGATAAGTGGTTTTCTTTTGGTACAAACCACAATGGCCAGGAGGCTAGTTCATAAAAATATCTATGTGGAATGATTGCTTGGTGTTTGATTTAAAGAAATGCCTCATGGGAGTACAGACTTCCCTGAGAACTATGAAACCCAGCCATGAAATGACCAACCTTTCAATATAGTGCCATTGTTCTTAACTATTGGCTGAAATCAATTATGGAACAACCAACAACTGTCTTACAATGGTCACAGTTTTAGAACTGGAATTATAATCTTTTTATCATTATTATTATTTCCCCTTTCTTAAAAATAGATTCATTTCTCATATAATATATCTTGATTACAATTTCCCCTCCCTTTACCCTCCCCAGGTCCTCTCCACCTCCCCTCCCATCCTAATCCACTCCTTTTCTGTCTCTCATTAGAAAAGAACAGGCTTCTAGGAGCTAACAACAAAACATAGCAAAATAAAATATAATAGGATAAAACAAAAGCTGTCACACTGAAGTTGGACAAGGCAAACCAACAGAAGGAAAAGAGCCCAAGAGCAGGCACAAGAGTCTGAGACCATTTGTTCACACACTTGGGAGTCCCATAAAAATAAAAATACTATCTGAAAGCTACAGAGAGAGAGAGAGACAGAGAGACAGAGACAGAGAGACAGAGACAGAGAGACAAAGACAGAGAGAGACAGAGAGAGAAGGCCTGGTACAGACCCATGCAGGCCCTGTACTTGTTGCTTCCATCTCTGTGAGTTCATATGAACTTAGCTCAGTCTATGCAGAGGGCCTTGTTCTCCTGGTGTCCTCCATTCCCTCTGGCTCTTACACATTCTCTCCTCTTCCACAATGTTCCCTGGGCTCTGGGGGAAAATATTTGATGGAGACATCCCATTTAGAGCTGTGTGTTCCAAGGTCTCTCTCTCTCTCTCTCTCTCTCTCTCTCTCTCTCTCTCTCTCTCTCTCTCTCTCTGTGTGTGTGTGTGTGTGTGTGTGTGTGTGTGTGTGTGTGTAATGTCTGGCTGGCTGTGAGTCTCTGTATTTAGTTCCTCTTCCCAGGTGACTCTAGGTTTATGCTGAGCTGACAGCTGAAGCAAAGGCTAACATCTGTCAAGCACAACACAGTTGAGTTAGAAGACAGACATTTTCCCAGAAGAGACTCGGTAATCCTCATAAGGAGATTCATAAATACAAGTAGCTGTCCTTGGCTATTTTAATTTGTATCCTGTCTTTTGAGAAGATGTGGAACAATAATCAGAACCAGCAGAATAGCAAAAAGTTACCACTCATTGAGTACCTCATGCTCTGCTCTGGGATGCTTATATTAGGAATACCTTATCACTTTCATACAACCCCCAATTATTTCCACAACAGCGCAGAATTCTCTCAGTTCTTCTCAGGTTTCAGGTGACTCTAAAAGGTCAAATCTCAAATAATTTTTAACCTCTCACTTTCTGAAAACATAGGCTTTATGTAGAGATCACCACAAAGTACAACACACAGGCAGACATAGTAACCACACAGGCGGTGACTGAGACCCATGTGTTCCTGTGGACTGCTTAATTTGAAGAAGCATGTATATTGTAGAGACATAGGATATGGATTTGTGGAGCTTTCAAGGTGAACTTTAATGGGCCATTCTTCCAAGTTATCCAACTTTAAAGACTTTCTCTCAAGTATTCCCTCAGGATAGCTTGCATCCCAGAAAGTTCACTGTTCCTTAGTCTGTTCATTATCACACACAATTACACCCATTTCTCATTTACCTTGAACTTGAAAATGTCTCCTTATAACTCAGGGGAGCTTGAGACTGTGTAGAACAATTTGAATTTTCCTTCCACTGGATAACCTCAGTTGATACGTCAGGACCCATGTCACCACTAGTGAAGGAATCTCAGCTTGACTATTGGTACATGAAGGGGGGCTTAGACTGAGATCCACAAAGTAGACATAGCTCTCAGTGAAGACTCCTTCAGGAAAACACACAACTACCAAACACCCAGCTTCTTCTCTGGTTCTTTGCTTTGCTTTCAAGGGAGCGTAAAGCCTGCACACAGCAGCACTATGAGTGCTTTTCTCACGGTGCCACACAAGCGACCACTGTAGCTCCTGCCTCAGATGCAGTAAAAAAAGGGTCCCTTCCATTCCCAAGAGTACAGAAGCAAGTACTTGAAACCCCATTGGCTCCAGTTACCCAACTACTGGGACTGGGGGATGAGACCGTCTGATCTGCTAGGTTATTTGGCAACAGAACCAGGAGCTGGAGATGGGGCTAACTCAGCTTAACCTTCCCTGTCATCTTGATTGGATTTAGAATCACGTAGGAGACACACGTTTGGGCATTTTTCAGAGGACATGTCCAGAGTGTTGTAACTGAGGGAAGGAGACCCACCCTGAATGGTGGTAGCAGCATCCCATAAGCTGGGGTTCCAGACTGAATGAAAAGGGGATGTAAGAGAAAGGGCGTCCAGCACAGTATTGGCCTCCTTCTATTTCCTGACTGGGATGCAATGTGACCATCTGCTTCATGCTCCTGCCTCTGTGACCTCCTCTCTCTCTCTCCCTAATGGACTCTCCTCAAACTATATGTCAACCTAAACCCTTCCTCCAGGAAGTTGCTTCTTGTTAGGTATGTTGCCATAGCAATGAGAAAAGTAACTAGCACACCAACCAAACTACTAAGTGTAGGAAAGGAATAAACAGCCGGAGAGTTGGGGTGCTGCTGGTAAGAAAATAAGGGGGGAGTGTCAGAGAATTAACAGACACTGGACCTACTTCTGGGTGTGTCATGGTCACAGGTCATCAGAGTTCCTATCTTCTGGTACATCATCCCCACAGACAGAAAGTAGATCTAACAGAGAAAGATTTCACCACCAGATGAATAACACAGCTATCTGGTGCTTGTGGACTTTGGAGAAAGAAGGAAACAAAGGGCTAGAGCTGTTGCATCTAGAGGGGTAGGCGGGCCTTAAACAGGCTAATAGAGACGGCATGTCAGGTCACGTTGACGTTCCAAACTTACATTACTATAAGGATCACACTATATTCCAATTAGGATAAATATGTGTCAATGTTTAAATTCTGAAGGATGTGCAGCTTTATCAGCAGAATCAGAAAACCGGCATGTCCTAAATTATGCTTGTCAGTACAGTGGCGAAATCTGCTGAAAAGAGCTGGGAATGTATTATTCAAAGAAATGTGACTCCCTTTTCAACTGAGACGAGCATGGGAGACACAAATGTGGAAAGTGGGGAAAGGGATACATCAACCCCTGGAAGATCCACATTGCTCATGAGCATATTCAAGACTCTGAAAGTCCCACAGTGTTGTGGTTTGAAAGGGATGTCCCCCCATATGTCCATATATTTGCATGTCTAGTTCCCAGTTAATGAACTGTTTGGAAGGATTAGGAGGTGTGGCCTTTGAGATTTCAAATACCCACATCAGGCCCTCTTTCTCTCTGCCTAATGCCTTTGGATCAGGATATAAAGCTCCCAGCTACTGTTCCAACACTACGCCTTCCTGCTTGTTACCGTATTTCCCACCATGATGATCATGAACTGAAACTGTAAGCAAGCCCCCAATTAAATGCTTTCTTTTATAAGCCTTGCCTTAGTCATGGTGTCTCTTTACAGCAATACAGCAGTAACTAAGACACACAACAGAGATCATAACATTCATGAGATCATAATATTTCATTTTCTGGAATCTCTCGTCATGTGGCACAGAGTCTTGACTCTAATGATATGTCTAACAAAAATGAAAGAAACTAAGTGAATAGAAGGGCCTAGCTAGCATTTTATTGGTATTGTTCATTTCAGGATTAACCATTTTGGCCGTGTGTGTGTGTGTGTGTGTGTGTGTGTGTGTGTGTGTGTGTGTGTGTGTGTGTAACATTTATTAACACACTACAGAACTAGAACTGCATAGAATTACTCATTAAAAACTTGCTTTTTTCTGTATCTTGCCCATAACCCCGTCCAGTTGATTCGGAGGTCCTAGATTAAATTCTGTGAAGTATTTAGAAGTTTAAAAACATTTCTTTAAGTGCTGTTTGTGTACCTCCAAAGTTTCTGGTGGGGGAGCCAGCTTCTCTTCCTAACCAGATCTCCACTTCTCTTTCAGCTGAAGAAAGATGAGTCCCTTGAGGCAGACAAAGTGACTGTGAACATTCATAGACCCTCCAGAAAATCAGTCACCAAGATGCTGTGTAAGCTGCTCGCTTTGTTTCAATGTTTGTTCACTTTTGTTTATAAGAGCGAAGGACTTGTGTTGGGCACTGACGTAATGGTGCTGGCTGAGATGTTCTTCTTGGTTTCCAGAAGGTTCCATGGCTGGCCTGTTTTGTTTCATCTTTGGCTTTGAGCATTCAAACCCTTGTACTAGGTTACAGTTGCTGAGATGCCTTCCAAGTGCTATGAAATAAATCACATTGGCATGCTGAGCCTGAGCACCACTCTCTCTGTAAGATGGGATGGGAGTGGGTTCTGAACCTGTCTGTGTTCCAGCATTCTTCAGACATGGGATACAGGTCATGGTGGACCCTGCACTCACAAATGCTTCCACATACAATATTTTATAACTTACTTCAGGGGATTGTGAGTTCCCAATGGCCACATAGACGCTGTGGATCTTTCCAATTCCAGATTAAGAATGACTAGTCATGAATTCTCCAGAGTGAATCATCCCACCTAGGACTCTGTGTAGCCTTGTATCAAAACGTCATCCTGTTTAAAAACAAAACAGTAAAAATAACCTTTCTTTGTTGGAAATATACATACTTGTAAGAGACAAAATATTTTAAGAAATCCAGGCGCTGACCAACCTCTCCTAAAAGGATGCTAGAAAAGAAAATGAGCCCTTGGGCTGGGAGATAGATCAGCAGCTAAAGCACTTGCTGTGCAAGCGTGAGCACTGGGGGTCAGCTCCCCAGAGACCACACAAATGCTGGTGGGAGTCACCACCCTCTTATAATTCCACTCTCGGAAGGGAGAGACAGGGGGTCCGTAGAGTAAGTTGGCTATGGAGACTGGCTGTACCAGTGAGCTCTTGGTTTGACTGCACAAGATCCTGCCTCAAGGAATAAGGTGGCTGAGTAACTGAGGACAATTCCCGACTCAACCTTGGGTCTACACACACGAGCGCGCGCACACACACACACACACACACACACACACACACACACTCAAACATGCATGCACACACATGCACATACGTACACACACAAGTGGGAAAATGAAAATAAATGAAAATAAATAAAATAAATAAAATGAAAATAAAAAACTAAGCAAAGCAACACCAGACCTCCAGGAGAGACACTCGTGAGGTATGTGAAACATCAAAAATTTCCAAATTACAGCCTACATTCAGAGAGGAAAGACTCCCCAGGCTAATGTGCACAGGAGTGTGGAAGCTGTACCCTCCGTGAACAGAAACCAGAAGTCACTGAAGCCGGTCTTTTGACTCTAATAATCATTTTCTTTGAAGTGGTTCAGCCCCGGGTGGGCCCTGGCCTGTGTTGACTGGGAAGCAGGGAGTCTTTGTTACTTCTCCCCTTCTCCCTCTGATCATGATCTCATCAATGTTTGCTCCTGTTAGCATCTCAGTAACATGCCTGGGGTGGAGCTCTCTGGTAGAGCATGTGCCCTGAATGTACAAGGCCCTGAATTTAATTCATAGCATATCACACACACACACACACACACACACACACACACACACACACACACACACACACACAAAAGAAAAAAAAACAACACATCTGAGCTGGGTTCAAAGCCAACTTGTGCAACTTAACAGGACTCTGTTTCAAAATAAAAAGTAAAAAGCGGTAGCTCAGTGGTAGAATGCTTGCCTGGCATGTGTGAGGCCTTGGATTCAATTCCCAATCCTAGAAAAAGGAGGAAAAGTTATAATAATAAAATGTAAAGCATTTTTCTTCATTATTATCAGTAATTAAGGCCGGAAGTGGGCAATTGACGGCCATTTCATTGAGGGAGAAACTCAAAAGAAACCGGATATTTTGGAAAGTTCATTGCACAGGCAGACAGCTTTTCCTCAATGTTAACACCAGAAAGAAACCAAGGTGCCATTTCCTGTGAAAACCTGGAATGTGCACATGCACAGCGTTGCAAAATGAAGACCATGTACCCACCTCTCAGCCTCAGACGTTCCTGGCTCACGGCTGCTCTACCTCATCAGCACCCTCGAGTCTCCCCTCCTTCAGGCCCTGTTAGATCACTCAGGTACAAACCTTACACAAGCTGTCACAGGAAAAGATGTGACAACTTCTTAGGAGAGAAAATGCTTATTTATTGTGTGGAGCTTCCAGATCCTGAGGGGAAACTGTTGTCATACCCATCCCTGCCCTGGGACTGGAAATGAGCAGAAGAGGGAACTCTGTGTGCTTCTGACTCAGGATAGGCAGTTCCTCCCAGAATCAATACTATATTTTCAGTTGTTCCTCCCAGAATCAATACTATATTTTCAGTTATTCTGTCTTTGTTCTGGCCCAGCACAGAATCAAAAGGATCAAAGGAACTGCTAATTATCTCTAGAGTACTGTGTTAGCAACTTTGTCTTGTTGCTATGACAAAATGAAGGAAAGAAGGCTGAGGAGACGGGCTGGCTGGTAAAATGCTTGCCGCACAAGCTTGAGAACTTGAGTTTGATTCCCAGAAACCTGTGTGTCAAAAAGCAGGGCGCGGTGGTGTGTGCTTGTAATTCCAGAACATCCCAGAGCTGGGCAGGTGGATGCAGGTGGATCCCTGGGCTTTGCTGGCCAGCAGTCTAGCTGAATTGTGAGTTCAGGGTAAAAATGAGAGACTGTCTCAAAACAAAGTGGGTAAGCCTCCTGAGGATTGACACTTAAAGTTGACCTCTGCCCCTTCTCAACACACACATACACACATACTCACACACATGCACACATGCACGCATGGACGCACAGGCACACACATAAGACAAAGACACGTAAGACACACAGAATAAGGAAAAGATTTATCTTGGGCCAAGTAGCTTTGGGCCTATTGTGAGGCAGAATATCACTGCAACAAGAGAGAAGAAAGGGAAAAATGGAGGGAGGAAGGATGGGAGAGAGGGAGGGAGGGAGGGAGGGAGGGAGGGAGGAAGGGAGGGAGGGAGGTAGAGAAGCAGTCCTCTTTACATCAGCTGCAGACATCAAGTCTCTGTGTCAAAGGCTAGGCAGCTTACATGGGGTGGATTGCTACCAATGTCTTTTTGGAGTTGTCAGTCACTTGATCCTTCAGCTTTGGGCCTGTGGTGAGGCAGAGCATCACAATAAGGCCTGTGGTGAAGCAAAGCTGTTCACTTCACAGCTGGCAAACAGAAAGGGAAGGAGTAGAGAGTCCCCATACTGCCTTCAAAGCATATCGAATGCCTGCCTCCTCTATCTAAATTCCTTCAAGTTTCCACCCACCCACCCCAGACAGCATCATCCACTGGGGACCATGCCTCAGAGGATGAGGTTGGGTAGCTGTTGGAATCCAATCCCTAAGAACTCTCTGAAAACCTGTGACTGTAGCTATCACAGCTCCCTAAAACAACCCGATCTAATCAGTGTATGAGTCTCTAAATGTGTCTGCTGAGAGCATGCTTTGTTTCCCACAATCAAGTGGTTTGGGAACTTGGAAATATATTCAGTTCTATTTTAAATATTCTAAGGAGAAACATACAAGAAATCTTGAGATGTCTCAGTGGTTAAGAGCCTTTGATACTCTTGCAGAGAACCCACATTCGGTTCCCAGCACCCACACTGAGCAGCTCACAACCTCCTGTAAGGCCCTCTTCTGTCCTCAGAAGGTACTGCAGATATGTGAGCACAAAGAGATAAGCAAGGCACACACACTACACATAAGTAAAAATAAATATTTTTTTCAAGAAAAAGAAAGAGAGAAATCAATCAGTATCAATCAATCCTGGGCCCGTGAGATGGCTCAGAGGGTAGAGGCACTTGCGGCCAAACCTGAGTTTGACCTCCAGGACCCAGGAGAAGGAAAGAACTCATTTCAAGAAGTTGCCCTCTGATTTTCACATGTGTGTTGTGGCATGTGTATGTGTGGTGTGCACACACATACACAAATAGTAATAACTGGACTTAGTGGGTTCTCAACAAAAAGGACATGAAGTTGAAATGGGGGCATGTTGGAGTGGGGAAATAGGGGTAGAGATGATATTTTATTATGTGCATTTATGAAAATTTCAAAAACAGAAAAACTTCAAGTAAAAAAAAATGAAACTTTAAAAGAAAACTTAGGCAATTGTGTAGAAAACTGATCCTAGATCCATATGATTAATTCTTCTGTTTGAATAGTCTTTATCTCTGGGGTCTCATTTGCCTGTGGCAATCAGTACTTAGTCATGGTGGCAGGGAAAACCTGATAAAAGAAGGAAACGGCTGGGAATGAGCATCACATTCTTCCCCGGCCTAGTCCGTCACTCCTTCTCCTGCTTCCTCTTCCAGTTGTCTTGGTCCTTGTGTTTGCTATCTGCTGGACCCCCTTCCATGTGGACCGGCTCTTCTTCAGCTTCGTGGAAGAGTGGACTGAGTCCCTGGCTGCTGTGTTCAATCTCATCCACGTGGTATCAGGTAAAGGCTTGGTGTGTTCAGTGACGGACGTAACTGTACGGTAGCTTTTCCCTCACTCTGTCCTGAGGCATTCATCACAATGCAAGCAGCTCACAGGGATCTGTACTTCTGTCACAGAAAAAGTGGGAGCTTATTGCATTCAGGAATTAAAAATGTTTCCAGGTTACTTTACAGAAAACCCCAACTCCACATGTGAGTGTGATAATTACAGCAGGAGAGCAGTTGGCGATCAACTAATCAAATAAGCAATTGATAGCAAAGAAATGCATGAGAAGAAATGGCTCACCCAAAGACATGAAGCTGTAAAAACCGTGAAAATGGGGCTCAAGTCTAAGCTACTGAATTTCAAGTTCAAGGTTCTTTTTCCAACAAACTAGAGAACCTACTGACGTTAGGTTCAGGGCACTTCTCCCCAGCTGTTTCTGTTGTCACTGTCTTATTCTGTGGCTATCAAGGACATGACCACACAGTAAAAGTTAGATGTATGTATGCAACTTAGGAATATCACAGCTCAGGACAGAAGGAAGGAGGGAGGGAAAAGAAAGATTGTACTGCAGACCTTCCTGTATAACGCCACCATTTCTGCCTCTGAACATTTGTACCCAAATACAAGTTCTGTCTCTTCATCGACCCTCTCCTATCCACATCAAGGTATAGCTGGTGTCATCACCTCCACTAAGTCCGTCATAACCACAGCAGTCTGTTAGAATAGAATAACTGTTGTAGTCTGACTGTTGGTAAATGCATTCTCCTAGGAGATGTCATTGTGTATCCCTGTTACTAGCTTTGCCGAGGATCCTGCCTCTGCTATATTCTTCCAAGTACTTGGAGAGGAAAAAAGTCTAAATCCCCTGTCTTTCAATGTGCTTTGAAGTTCTCAAAATGTCCTAGTAAGCATTTGATCCATGTCGGAGTGAACAGACATGTCTCCTCGTCCCAGAGAGGGCACTGACCATAGACACAAAGAAGGGATTCCATCCAAGTGCAGTTTGTTAAACCAATGAGTCACTGGGGTTACTAACAGGAATGAGTGATTTATGGGCAGCTATATCACCAAAAAAAAAAACTATTTCTCAGCAATGGTTAACTGTCTATAAATCCTTGAAAGGAGTCCAGCCTCATAAGTCTCTTCCCAAACAACTGTTAACTGTCTAAATCTTTGAGGAAAGGCAGGCAAGCCCTTCCCCTGTAATGCAGAGTTAATGGGAACACTCTTGTGTAGTCTCCAATGGGTGATCACAGCTGACAGTTTGAGAGGGCGGTGGCCATGACCATGTCTTGCCTGGAGGATGCTGTTTCACCACACACAGCTCCCACCAGAATACCCCGCCCCTATTTTCCAGAAGGAGGTGATGTGCCAGTGTTTATCCAAGGGCACAGAACAAAGGAGGGTCGGGGTCCTAACCCCCACTAAGCTCTATTGCTGTCTTATAGAAACAAAACAGGAAATAAGAGTGGGTGTACAGGAGCTGGGGAGATGGCTCTGTGGTTAAGGGCTCATACTGCTCTTACAGAGGTCTCTACTTCAGTTCCCAGACCCCATAGCAGGTTTCTTACATGCCTGTAACTCCAGTGCCAGAGGGCCAGACACCTTCCTTTGGCCTCTGTGGATACTGGGATTCAGGTACACACACACACACACACACACACACACACACACACACACACACACACACACTTACATAACTAAAAAATAAATCTCTAAAGAAAAGAGTGCATTTATAACAAGCAGAGAAAAGGCAATATACAAGCTGCCTGGTAGACAAAATAAGTAGAAAAATATAATTATTCAGTGGAAGAGCTATCAAGGGAAGCAGGAGTGGGTAGGGAAGGGACATGGGGGTGGGGCGGAGGGGGATGATCTCTCTCCAAGAGGTTTTCAACAGAATGAGGAATCTTAGAGACCAAATGTTGGCTGATTTACCAATCCTCACCACTGTAGTTTCAAATAATAGCTTTAACTAAAAATCCAATGAAGAAACAACCCTCTTTTCTCTGATATTTGAGCATCTCTCATTAGTGACATCGCTCAGCATGATGGGAAATCCATGGCTCTTCCGTTGCTCTATGTTTGATTCCTGAGTGCACAGGTGGATCTGCTCATAATATTTCCTTTTCTCAGTGAGTGCCCTGTACACCCCACTGCTTCCAGGAGAGGCAATCATGAGGTTCTCAGGCCTTTGTTAAATATTTATACTTCATCCTACCTTGCTGTCATGTCTTCTTTCAATCCCTCCTTCACAGGCGTCTTCTTCTATCTGAGCTCAGCTGTCAACCCCATTATCTATAACCTCTTGTCGAGACGCTTCCGGGCAGCCTTTCGGAATGTCATCTGTCCTTCCTGCAAGTGGTGCCATTCCCAAGATCTCCCACCAGGACCTCCAGCCCAGAAGATCATCTTCTTGACAGAATGCCACCTTGTGGAGTTGACAGAGGAAGCAGGCCCCCAGTTCCCCTGTCAGTCATCCATCTACAACTCACACCTCTCCACAGACCGTTGTGCTGGGCAGGTACCATGAAGGGAGTGGTCAGAAGGCCACTTCAGAAGGCCTGGATTCTGTGGATTGACATCCCTCTAAGCCCCAGCACTGTAGGAGGGACTTCCTGTCACCTGCGCCTCCTGTGTGCCATTAGGGAGATAACAAGATTCTTAGATCCCATGTACTCCTTGCTTTTATTAATGTAAAACTCCAGACTTCGTTCTAGGTCACAGTGGTGCAGACATTGCTGATTTAGACATGCCATCTTTCTGTATGGTGAGTTTCCATAACTGTGATTGCAATGTGCCACGTGAGTCCTACTTGAAGACACCCTCATAATGGTTGAGTTTAACAGAGTGAAGCATTACAGAGGAGCTAAGCTGCACAGCACAGTTTTACCAACCTCCAAACCCAGGACTCATAAGAAATTACTGGTGGTGAGCCAGTGGCTAGCTCAGAAGCGCTCGCTAAAGCTTACCACTCCAATAGTTAGGACTTTTGCAAGCTTGTTATCGAATGAGCGATGACTTGAAATCAGTCATAGCAGAAATATTTATGCTACAGAAATTAACAAGCTCTCTAAATCAGGGCTAAATAATTTTTATCCCCTGGAGAGCTGGCCCGTGAGCAGGTGGAGAGCTATTAATAAGCTGGCATTTTGCCAGCTTGCTGCGATCTGTGTGACTTGTTTTTAGAACAAATGCTGGTAATGCTGTAATTATGGACTACTTAGAGTTGTGGTTAACTCTGAAAAGAATGCTATGGACTAGATTTTTTTTTTTAACCTAGAGTTCCTAGATAAAAAATAAGCAAAAAAAAAACCTGCTAATTAAGCCATGGAAGCAGCATCAGCATTTTATAATTAACCTAGAGTCGAATGATTCTTTTTGGATGCCATCCATTAACATTAGCGCAGGAGACGACAATGGACCCAGTGTTATTTCCCCTCACACATCTGTATTTACAGAGTCCACAGGATGTGTTGTCAAAACTGGTGGATTTTCTATATTCTCTACTTGGCTGCAAACTTATTTTCTTTAACAGGTAGGAACATAAGTGGGTCAAAGGTTCTCATCACCAAACCTGAGGACCTGAGTTCAATGCCTGAAACTCACATGGTTGAAGGAGAGAACTGGCTCCCACAAGCTGTCTTCTGACCTCCAAACATGCACTATGGCATATGTTTCCCACACACCCCTGCACACACCACACCACACTAAGTAAATTCATATAAAAAATTTGAAGTTGTTATAAATCCATAGTGTGGAAGCTAACAATTATACCATCTTCTAGAAGCCATGCAAATCAAAATCACAGACAAAGCAGCCTTTAATCCCCTCCTATCCTTTCCTATCTGCATTAGATGACTGAATGCCACATGAACTCCACTTCTGACCCCACCTGTGGAACACTGTGGAAGCATTTTCAAGGCAAGGGCAATTTTAGAAGTTTTGACTAATTTATGAATGGGATAGATATTGTAGGCTATACCTACAACATACTGATTTCACTGCTAGTGAAATACATTCACTGTGCAAAACAGACTGTTAACTTAGAGAGTTAGAATGATGGACCAGTCTAGCAAAGAAAGCCAAGGACTATTGGACAGAGAGAAGCAAGGACTGGAGAGATGGCTCGGTGGACAAAGACACTGGTGGGCTAGCCCGATGATCTAAGTTCCGATGGTTGAGGAAGATACCCAACACCTGAAACTGTTCTCCGACCCCCATGTATTCACCATGACTTGTGTAGCAGCACCCCTTCACAATACAACAATAAAATTATTTTTTTAAAAGCAATTTACCTCTTCAAACACACACAATGTCTGTATACCACAAAACCACATAGAGGCATAGATAAGAATGTTTGTGAGTAAATAGTTATTTTGAAGATAGACCTTAAAAGGTTTGATAGAGCACACTTATTTGAATATTTTTCACAGCAGACAGACTATCTTTTATCAACAACACTTTGTTTTGTTTTATAAACACTGAAAATGTTAGATCCTGGCTTTGACGACCAATTCTTCGGTAATAAAATGGAATAAACGCCGTCCTGTGGACATTCATGTGCTCTCTGCACTCACTGTTTCTCCCATCTTACTGAGAAATAAAGTATTCCTGTGCACCCCTGCCTCCAGTTGACAGCAAAGAGCTTATCCTTAGTTTCACCTGGGGAAATGATATGAGCAATCTCAAAGAATCCGAGGCTACGACAGTCCTCACATCTCATTCAAAAACCTGCAGGGTGCTGAGGTGGCTCCGAGGCTGGGATCCTCTGAGGTCTGAGGCTTTCCCATCTGGCCTTGCCACCTGCAGCAGCCTCTTTCTTACAGCACCTGCAAAGATTGGTGAGTCCCTACTGAGGGTCTGTCGCCAAGTGTCCAGATTCCAGAGGGTGGATGCCATTCCTCCCCAAGGAAGTCTGTAGAGCAGCAGTTCTCAGCCTGTGGGTCACAATCTTTTCACAGGAGCCACCTAAGACCATCGGAAAACACAGATATTTACATTATGATTCATAACAGTAGCAAAATTACAGTTATGAAGTAATGGAGATTATTTTATGGTTGGGGGTGACCATAACATGAAGAACTGTATTAAAGGGTCACGGACTTAGGAAGGTTGAGAATCACTCCTACGGACATTGGGTTGCCAGATAGACTCCGGGACTCCATAAAGAGTGTGGTAGGTGAAGAATCCCCCACCCTATACACCTCAACTAGAAGTGCCCCTCCTCTGCACTAAGCCATGACCTCATGACTTTCCCACCTCCCTCTCACTCCCCACCTCCTCCTTACTCTCCTACATCCTCAGAGTCTCAGATTCCTTCCTCCTCTGGAGGCTCAGTAACAAGCAACTACTTAGCTCCAGATACTCCCTATGAAACCTTCCTCCTTCCTCTGAGACCTATACAAAGGACCCGCCACTATTCCCTGGGGGGCCATAACTCTTCTCAGACCACATTATATGCTGTCATCCATGTGTCCATGATGTTAACAAGTTTAATAAAGCTCTTACCCAAATCGATACCCGCTCAATCCCAAACCTGAACCCTTTTAGAACTGCACTGTCCGGAGGCACAGTGGCCACCAGGGGTACACACTTCTCTTGATAAGCAAGTCACCAGGACTATCAAAGGCAGAAGCATGGAAATACACTTTCTTGGAGGCTGTGACCCCTCTATGAGGTGAGAGCTATTCTTTTTCCCTGATACTCATGTGCCAATAAAAGAAAGAAGCGACCGGAAAAGCAGAGAAAGGAGTGTGGCCACACAAAGGCATGGAATTAAGTAGTCCATGGGCCCCCAACTCCATCTTTGGGGATTACAGCAGGATGTTTAGGTATAAATAGAGGACACAAGGTACAATTAACTAAGCAGTACAATCAGATTGCAGTCCATCATCATCTGGGCTCCAGTTTCTCCCGCAAGCTCCTCTGAAGAAGTTGTCAGAGCTGTGTGAAATCTTCTCCTAGGAGAAGAGCACCCCCTCTGGCTGCACTAGGCTTCCTCATCTTCCTTCTCCCAGTGTGAGATTCCTGGTAAAATACCAATTTCCTGGTGTCTATTATTTCAATAGTCCGAAGGACAAAGGGTGGAGCCGAGGCGTCCCTTTGAATAGTCTCACCCCTGCCAGGATAGTTACCTCAGGATAGTCCTTAGAAATGCTGTAATACTCATCTATAGAAAAACTAATAATAATAATAAATAAACAGGAATAGGAATTTATTATTCAGGAAGATAAGTTTTGATGGCATTTTACAGTGTTATTGCTTCCTCTGAGCTGAAACTCCCCCCGGAAGGAAACTAAAGGCTCACAGGACTGGGGAAGTAAACAAACCTCCTCTCAAAAGCTGGAACTCAGGTTTTAAGAGGCCCCTCACCAGGGTTATAGAAGCAGTAAATAACTGTTGGGAAAGGAGAGCTTTGACCAGCCTCATGGGTGCTGTTGAGAAAAGCGTCTCAGGCCTGCCCAGCTGCCTACAATCTGCACAGAGAGCACCAGGGTTGCAGCTTCCAGGAGTCTCACCCTTTCGGGAGTGGGCTCCCTTTCAATGAGAAAGCATCTGCCTTAGAGCTGCTCATGCTCCTGTAAGTAACCCCTCACCCACCCTGCCAGAGTTGAAAAGTTTCTGCACCCCAACAAGCCTCTCCACCGACGCAGCAATCCAAATCAGACCAAATCAAACTGAATTAAGAAAAAGCCCAGGTTTAAGAGGTAAAATGTTCTCGGGTGATTTTTCCAGCCGCCCACAGAGGAGATGGGGTAGAGAGACCGAAAAACCTCGTGTCTGTTTTCTGGGGTGCAGTTTAAATACCCTGTGGGAGTGGTATTGAGCATCTCTGGGGGAGGAGCGCCGGTGTTTGTCAGGCTTGAGACAGGACAAGATTTGGGGAGAGAGAGCTGGGGGAAGGAGTTGAGGTGGAGCTTCCACCAGAACATTCCAGAATCTTTGGGTATATGAGTGCCAAGGGCTGAGGTGGAGCTTCCACCAAAACAATAGTAACCTCAATCAACTCACTGACTTACCAAGCCAGAGATGCTGGTGTGATAGTTATTTTGATCTATGATGGGTCCCCTGGGGTGGAAGAATATTCACAGCACCCCAGGAAAAATTCACACAGCAAGCCCTCTTTCGGGGAGTACTCAAACACATACTGTAAATAAGCAATGTTGGCACAAAAACACAGCCCTCACCTCAAAAGGGAGAAGAGAGTTTACTCTGGAGCCAAATGGAGTGATCGTGGCCCAGAAACACAGATTTAGGTCACCCCAAATTCCATGTTCCAAGATGGGAACAGTTTGATGAAGTTTTTATAGGAACAGAAAACGGAAAGTCGTAAGTGGAAGTGTTTCTCAAGCACTTTGAGGGAGACACGAAGTTGGTTGTCAAGCAAAGCGGGGAAGCTCCGCTGTCTCCTCAGGTGCTTCACAGGACAACCTTCGCTTTCTGATTGGTGGAAACAAGGGTCCATTAAGTAAATACATTTCCAAAGGTTTCACCTGATCATAACAAGGATATTAAATCAGACACAGACTTGGGAAAAGGG